CACCTCAAGTTGAAACATCTATACCTCTGGAGGTATATTTAAGGTATATTTGATGTTGGTTTTGAGGTATTCATTTGCACCCTTTTCAACCTCAACGACGTATTTAAATAACAACCTTCTTTATACCTTTAAAATATACCTCGATTTTTTCATAAGGGGGGGGGGCCCTAGGCAGTTGCCTACAGTGCCTAATGGATAAAACGGCCCTGCATCTTTCCCTGGTTTCGGGAAGAGTATGATATCCGATTTTTTCCACATGATTGGGAAATAACAGTTATTTAGGCAGGCTCAGTAAGGAAGGATGGGAATAATAGTAGGTGGAGCATTCTTGATCATCTCGTTGGTGATACTATCATGGCCAGGGGCCTTTTTGTTTTTTAGTTTTTTGATAATATTTATTATTTCATTGTCATTGGTAGGCTCATTATCACTTATGTCAGGGATGTTGGACATGATATTATTATAAGTATTCTCAACAATCTTGTCATTAATAGGGCATGATGGTTCGTTATTAAGGTTGAATTGCTCATACATTGTATTCGCAAAAACCTCTGCTTTATCTACATCTGTGTATGCAACGTTGTTGGAATTTTTAAGGGGAAGATTTGTTTGTGGAATTCTCCTAAGAGCTCTTGCCATCCTCCAAATTGAGTTGTCGTCTTTATTTAGGGAAGCAACCTTATCATTCCATTGGGTGTACCGATATTTTAAGCAATCTTCTGTGATGATTTTTTTGAGTCTGTTTGCCTCGGTCTTATAGCTTGGGTTGGAAGTCCTTTTATAATATTTATTCAGTTTATTCTTGGCTCTAATTTTTTCTTTGATTTGCCATGGGAGTTTGAAGTTGTTCAAGTGCTTAATTTTCACAGTGGTGGCATCTGATAATGCATTTTGCATATTAGTGTTTAAGTTATCAATTGCAGTATCAATATCTTCGTTAGATTTTAATTCATTAGGCATCTTAAGTTTCATATTTAGGATATTGTGATAGAGCAGCCAATCAGTATTCTTTTTCTTGATAGTTTGGTCATTTATTTGTATATTAGTATTAACGATCAGTTCCCTTTGGGACAATAATAGTCTGAAAACTTTTGAATCGTAGAGATATAGTTTTTTTTTTTTTTACATCATTTTAAAGTATCTAATTCCACATGGAAAATACGAATTTGAGCGTTTTTGGTTGAATAGTGCATTAGTTCCTGACAGTGGCGTAGCGAGGGGGGAGCAAGGGGGGGCATCATGCCCCGGGCGCTACTCACAAAAGGGCTGCCAAATGGTCAACAAAACAAAAAGAATTGTTGGATAATTTTTATTTTTATTATAATTTATTTCTGGAAAATATATTTTAAATTTAGTGCCAGTGAAATATAATAAATGTTAATTCGTAAATAAAGAGGAACACTAGTCAAGCTGTAATAATATATTAATAATAGAAATAACACGTCTTTTCTAATGGCAGGGCTGACTCGACCTGTGTCTGTCAGCACTTCCTAATGGCATCTACGCTGTGTGGTTACATATATTATCTCCAGATATTTGCAGTGTACAAAGTACAAACATCAGTGTATAAAGTGTTTGTATGTTTGCACAGTGTACAAAGTACAAACATTCTTTCTTTCAGAACACGATTTATTTTTATTTCTATAAACGCAATGTAGCTTACGCTTGTTATTTTAAAACGATAACAGTAACACTCCAATATATTTATATGTAGAGTCACGGAAAAAAATATCCGGAAAATAACAACTAAATTATTGTCTATTTTTTAATATAGATACTTCTCAGACACACATCAAATACAGCGTTTTCCTGTTTCTAGGGAAGGACACAAACGCCGTATTTGTTGTGTGCCTAAGAATTATCTGTTTAAAAAAATAAAGGATTCTTTATTTGTTACTCTCCGGATACTTTTTTCCGTGACTGTACATATCCGTGACACTTGCGACAGGTTGTGGAATTCCGCTACAAATTAGGTAAATACCAGAATTATTAACGTTTAAGTTATTTTGCGCCTGTATTTTTCAGTTTTGCGTCGTTGTCATCGCGCTCTGCTTTGAATAAAAATGAAATGTTATTAAATGTTATAAGTTTAATGTTAGCATAAATTATAGTGTATATTTCACTGTGTTACTACCTTTCAAGTTCAAGGCATTCTTGGTTAGTAGTAAAACAAATAAGATTACTTACTACATCTACTCGACGATTCTATTATTCAGTGAATAGGGTATGAAAAAATTTGTTAATAGTGTTCAATTAAACAAAGAGCTCTTATTTTACCGTAAATATGGCTTATGACCGTAAATATGGCTGATTACCGTAAAATTGGCGTAAATATTAGCTCGTAAATATGGCTTATCTGGGGGACAACCTAAAACCAGCAACTTTTTTCTACGCTTGTCAAAACTATCATACGTGTAAGAAGACGCAGAAAGTGAAATTTCTCGCGTTATGAAAAGTGTTCTTGATCGTCTCCAACAAGAAATGTGTACACGATTAAGTGACCTTAATTTCAAATTTGGATTTCTACTAGATGTTGAAAATTTATTAAACAAGGATAATGTTGATAACAATCTTGAAATTTTTTTATAAAAAATTTGGGTGAATTTTATAATACAGATTTCAATGGAATAGAACTCTTTATCGAAATATGTGACTGCAAAATGTTACTCCGCAGTTGAAAAGAAATTGAACTTAAAACTCCATTAGAATCTCTTAATTTTATAATCCCGTATGGAGAAGATGTTTTTTCAAACCTGAGAGTGGCACTTCAAATACTCCTGACTATCTCAGTATCAATTGCTAGCTGCGAATGGTCATTCAGTAAATTAAAGTTAATTTTGACATATCTACGATCAACGATGGGACAAGATCGCCTAAGTCGCTTAAGTGACTTAGCATTTTTAAGTGTGGAAGGAGAAAAATTTGAAATGATCAACTTTGATGATATTATTGGTAAATTTGCTTCATCAAAAGCGGAAAATTTATACATAGTAATTAGTTTTATTAATGTATTATAATCATGTTATTAAATATATGTATCTCCTTAGAGATAATAAATGTTTACTTTTTTATTGTTTTAAAACTGCGTGTTTTTAAAATATTTCTTTATAAATATGTAAAATAAATAATAGGTATCTTTTGAACTAATTCTAGATGATAATATCCATTTATAAATCTAGTCTTGTTTTCTCAACTACATTTTTTGTCTCAAATTTAATGCTTAGCTTGAGCCTATGACTTTATTACTTTGCGAATATATTTTACTTGTAATATTAGATGGTTTTCGAGTGGGGGGGGGGGCGCTAAAAAGGTATTGTGCCCCGGGCGCGAGTTAAGCTCGCTACGGCACTGGTTCCTGAGAAATCGAGTTTTATAAGTACGACTTTTTTAAAATTTAATTTCTCAGGAATAATAGATTTCGCTGAAATTTTGCATTTTGTCATGTTTAAAATTTACAATGTTTTGTAATCCAATTTATATGCGAAGAAATAACTTGTTTTCATAAATATATTCGCTAACATAATACATAAAGCTAAAATGACGGTTAGAGATGGAGTACTGAAAGTTTTTGAAGGGGCCCCCGCCAAAAATGTTTGCCCCCCCCCGATGGGTGAAGTTACGGCACTGTTTATTGATTAAACATATCACTGCTTTATTTTTGTCCATTCAATTTTTTGGTTAACTTATCCCAAAAGCTCTTGATAACTAACTAGAATTCTGACCACTTATCTCAACCAAAGAATATAGAGGGGAATCCCTCTCTATTCTTTGTCTCAACCACCATAAATGAATCCAGTAGAAGTAATTTGTATGTGATGCCGTTTGTGTGAGATCAAAACCACAAACCCACACAATTTTTAGTTAACAAGTACCCAGGTAGGGAGTTAGATTCGTTTAGATCATTTTGGTCTAGGGGTTAAAATTCGTCGTAAGACTTCGTGGTTACTGCTTCCGATTGAATTTTTTGGCCTAAAGCACACTATCCAATATTATTATATTTGTAGTTCGTGTTCTTACAATTTAACTTTCAACGAAACAAACAAAAAGCGAATTCGGAAGACTCCGTGTGCTTGCTATGATGATACCCAAAAACAAACGGTTCCATTTTACCCAAATAAGTGATAACACTCAAAGCATGGCAAATCTTACACTTTATTTATGTTGTGATATCAACTTTCTTAAATTTGTTTTAGGCTCACGACCTGTTAAAATTTATAAATTGCAGAAAACTCTTATGAATGATAAAATTACGCTTAAATTTAAATTCAAATCACAACAATGAAACTTCCTTGAATATTAAGCCTGTTCACGCATCGCCTCGTCAGCATAACATAAGTGGAGGGATACACCGGAATTTCTCGTAATAGTACTTTTAGTAATAAAATTTGTCCCGCAGTGGACTGATCGTAAAGACATGGTTCTCTGAAGAACACCGAAGTTAAGCATCACTGGCTGCTGTTAGGAAGCAGGTGGATGACCACTTTGATCAGCTTGCGTAGGGGATGAGGGTACGCGGTATCCGTCCTTGTTAAAGTTTTCTATCATAAAGTTCTCGATTTCGCCCGCAGGTCGTTGATCTACCCAGGCAGGGGAGTCTTTCCCTCATCAGCGGATCAAAATTGCGATGGCATGTCTTCGGATCATCCTCAGGGATGTTTCCCAGACCATCTCCAATAGCCCGTTGTGCAGCTCTAGTGCGACATAAATATAAGTACCCAAAGTAATAAAATTTAAAGGGAAAATTAATAAATTGCATTTGAAAAGTTACCCTTGTCGGAGATCCTGTTGGAAAAATCTAAAGAGAAATATGTCTTGTCTACATGAACGAAGTAAAAAAAAAGTTTACTTTTAGCTAAAAAAAACTTGTTAAATGGTTGATTATTTGATATAAAAAAATTATTATTGTAGGTTAGAGAGGACTAATTAAAGCATAAAGAGAAATAAAAAAAATCCCAAACGATATTGCACTTTTCCACGTAGACTTCATAATCATTCATAATACATCTATAGAATTTGGCAATGGCTGAATAATCTGAAAACAACCGTTGCCAATCAAGTTCCTTGAACTATTATTGTTTAGAGCTATTTGCAAATTATAAAGAATTGTAAATTTTTAAAACAATTATAGTTAAATATTTATAGTACATGAAGGTTTTTGAATTGCCTAAAGTATTCCTAATTATTCAAAACTTGCTATTAAATTTTTCTACATATCAGGTATTAATGCTTTGTGATTCGTTAGCATTTATGATACACAGATGGCTTTCTTTTAAATAATTAATTAATTAAAATATTTTAATAATTTTAAAGGTATGGCAAACGTTTTACATACCTAAGTTATGAAAATAAGTCCCGTCACATAGATTTAGTTGTTGAAAAGTTGTTGTTTCTTGCATTATTTAGCGTTCTTTGTAATGACGCTAAGTTTTGCAAGTTGATCCCGTGAACGCATTTGATAAACAATTCTTTCGTATGAAGTATTTTTTTTATTACTGACTAATTTTATAGTGCTCTTTTATTATTTTATATCAAAATAAATTAATTGTAATGATTTTCTTTTAGTAGATATTTTGACGACTTTCTGCTTCTTCATGGCTGACTGTTAGAAACTGAATAATCAAATATGATCGGATTTTTTAAAGGTATAAAGTTGCATGTTTTACTATTTGAACGTCTAATTTTTATTCAGATGTTGCGTTTTTGAAAAATAAAAATTTATTGTTATTTCTTGAATACCAACAACTGCTTTCCGGTATTATAACACTCATTTCATTAATTCATGTTTAAATCTTGTTTATTTACACTCCGTTATAAGAATTCACATTAAAGTGAAAATTGAAATCTTCTTGTTGTATATTTTATTAATAATCGTGATTAGTGTTTTAATATTTGTAAGCAATGGCTGTCAATGTCGCTTAACCTTCTGAAAAACTCAATCGAAATTTCGTTTTATTTAGGTATCATTTCGTAAATGTTTCTGATAAGCATTTTTTGCCTTCATTTACCACTTAAATTTCAATTTCACTCATTAATTTATAATACATGTTGATTTTTTGACCATCTTATTTATATTTTCATTTCAATAAATTTATTGAAACATTATTTAACTGTTTGCTACAAACACTAAATGTCATGCTCATTATAAATTTTTGGTGTATGTCACACAAAACATACTTATTATTAGTCACATTTACATTTTATTACTTATTTACATTATATTAGTTTCATTATTTATTACCATACATTATTAATTCATTTTGCATTTATAACATATAGGTTAGTTGTATATTATTTCATTATTTGGTTGCAAAATGTATGTTTTATTAATTTTTGTTTTAAACTTGGAGGAAAGTTTTTGATTATCCATAATGTCCCAAAAAATTTATTTTCTTTCATTTCAGTGTCTATCATAACATGAATAGGAATGTTCATTTATTTAGTTTAACCTTTTGCATTCTGAGTACTTCAATATGCTATTTGAACTAATGGAAACACTAAATAAATCTTTAAAATTACATAGTGCGGTAGTTTTGTATAATTTCTAAAATTCATAAAATAATGTGGTTATTAATTATCAGGCTATTAAAATTTTAAAGTTTAGAGTGATGACTTTCAATATCTTCTTAGATATGACATTGGAGTGCAAAAGGTTAATATCTTACATTTTTATTGTAACCACTAAGAATAATTATTTATTCTGTATTATTTTGATGAGATGTATGTGTTTGTTATTTTCACATTACTTAATGCTGATAAATTGAATAGATAAATCTGAAACATCTTGGCATATAGTTAAAAATTATAAGTAAAGAATGTATTTATAAGTTTCCATTCTTAATTTTACTATGGTTGGGATGTCAATTTTACAAATTATTCTTAGCATTGTAAAAATGTTGAAAGGCTACATAGCCTATTTTTATTTTGTTTTGCGTAATGATGTACCAATTATAAAAGTTCACTAAACAATCTTAATATATTAGTGTTTGATGAGTAATAATGAATTAATTATTCAAGTTCTAGCTATTGTAAAAAGTGTTGTTTGTGTTTTTTAAAAAAAATTGTATATTTGTTTTTTGTAAAATAAGCATCTTCTGTTTTTGTTTTAAATTTAGTAAATCAACAAATTATATGACTTTAATCAATCTTTATACAATACATTTCTTACCGAAATGGCGTGTTAAAAAGGTAAACTTAATGTTTATCATTGAAATGGTTTTTTTTTCCTCCCTGTTGATAGTTAATTCAATTAAGTTAATATTTCACAGATCTAAATAAACTAAATTGTTTAATTATTCAAATAAGTATTACAATAATTTAAAATTTTCAAGTTCAAATTTTGTTAAACACCTTGATGAAATTCAGAATTGTTTTAAATGTTGTATAACACAGTTAATCCATGCTTGGTGCTTTATCCAAGTAAAAATTTAATCTGTTTTGTGCCCAAAATTATTACTGTCTTTTTACAAATTTTATTTTCATTTCATTGTCTAGTTTATAAAAAATTTCCACTACAGTGGTTTAGCTATCTGCAATCAAAATTTTTCTTTCATTCTGATTTAAAATACAATTTTCAACACACCAATAGTATTGCCAGAACACATTAAAATTAGAAAAGTATGAATAATCTCATTTTTATCATTGCCAATGTAAGTAAGGTAATGGAGTGGATCATTTGTTTACTTTTTTTATATAAAAGTTTCATTAATTTCTAATTTGTGAACGCATAAAAACAATAAGAGAATTACGAGGAAAAAAGTTTGAAAAATTTCTAATTAAATATTTCAAAATTATAAAAATCTCAAGGATTATTATTTTTTTTTAAAGTTTCTATTAAGTTGCTTATGAAATAAAATTTAAAAGTTGTTAAATTTATTTAGCCAAATATAAATTTTTTTAAATTCAATTAAAAATCAAAATTATAAGTGTAAAAAATAATACACCATGGCACTTTTGTTCTTTGTAATACTTAAACAAAGCAGAAGTATAGAAGTCTCATGTTGTAATATGTTTTTAAAAATAGTTCGAAGCAGATGTAAGAAAAGTATGAAATGTTCTTAAGTTTAATTAAATATGTGGTCTCTTTTTTTTTTCATATTGGTTAAGTAAACAGAACTCCTGGTGAGTATTATTTTAATATTATAGTTGATTAAAAATAATGTAGGTACAGTGAAACCTCCGGGAAAGACCACCTCTATTTCCGACTACTTAAAGCGCGGAATTTTTTCCGTAGAGTTTGTTTTGGAAAAACAGAATCTATGGAAAAAATTCATTTTCCAGAACCAGATTTCATAAACCTCTGAACCAGATGTGGAAATGATCAAATAAGGAAACACGAAAAATTAACGAAACAAAAAATATTAATAAAACAACTAGATTCAAGTGTATTCAAAATATTGTGAGTGGCTCTTATTTAGAGAGCTCTTTTGACGATCTGTGCAAGAGCTATGGATGATTTATTTTTAAATTTGAAAGTTAAATTACAAAAAAGTTTTTTTTTTAAAGTTAAACATTTTAAACAAACAAACTTCTTCTCACTTTTTAAAGCTAATTTTTCTGATATAAAATTTAATACAAACTTAAACAAAAACATAATTGTTTATTTATTTAAAATAGTTCTATTGTTCGTAATTGGTAAATATGTTTTTACTCATAGTTGGAGGTCATTTTTTGATGCTAAGTTTTATTCATTTATCCTGTTTTCATGCTACCAACACAAGTGACATTTCTGCGCTAAGAAAATGACTAAAATTAAAATAGTTTTCAGAAAATCATGTACCTTCAATAACATTTTTAAGTCAATGGAGGTAACTCCTAAGAATGACATTAGCGTTCATTTCACTGTGAAACGGAGAGTGACTGCTCCCGAGAGGTTTCACGGTATATAGATGTGAAAACTATGTAGGTATGTAAAATTATGTAGGTATATAGATATAGGTACCATAATTATTTTTTTGCTGATACTTATTTCACAACTTGAATTAATTTTAAAAGTCAAATTATAAGATTCATTATAAATAAATTTGATTGAAAAAAAAAAGCACAGTCAGACATTGTTGCATTTACATGCTAATAAATATTTCTATCTGCTCCGGGCACAACAATCAGATAATATATTTTGTTAAAAATGTTGTGACACTAAGATGCTCCATATCTACTAAGAATTACTTCAAATACATTGTCACTCCAAATACACTATGATGTCACTAGAAGCAGAGTGTTCTGCAATAAGAACTTTGATAGTATCATGTGTATTGCATGTCTCCTCAAAAATAAACAAAGTCTCTAGTTGAATTACTTCCTTTTATTATTTTAGTAATGAATAATTTTATTTTGCAGACTGAAATTTTAAAATAAAAAGCCTTAAATAGTCTAATATCTAAATAGTGAAAGGAACAAAAGTGATTAACAACATAAAATATTCACCTGGGCTAGGATATAAATTATTCTGTTGAGACTTAGGTTGTTTTGTGAGGTACATTGCAGTTTTGAGTATCAGTGGCTTATCTGTTTGATTGCTAATTAAAAAATTTTCAAACTGTGCGTTTCGTCATAGGAGGCATTAAAATATTTAAAAAAAACTAAGTTTGTTGGATGAAGCTGAAATATATTTACCTTTTTGTTTAGAATTGTCATTTAAATCTATAAGCTGTGTTTGATAATTTTAATTCATTCTTTGCACTGATCACTGTGGTATTATATTGCTAACATTTAAAAAATTAAGGGATTTGTTTATAGAACATCCATTATATGTGAAAGAGTTAATTTGAAAACACAGCTGATAAAAGTGGAATCAAATATATACAGGGTATCAGCGCACCTGGAAAGTCGTGGAAAATCATGAATTTCGGTATTGAACAAAATTTGTCATGAAATGTCATGATTTGAACTATTTTTTTAAAAAAATCATGGAAAGTCATGGATTTAGGTCGCAGAAAAATCTAATTTTTAAGATGGAATTTACCCCCCGCCCCAGTTTCACCGTGTTCCAAATATCTGAATTTGCAACAAAATCCCTACTCACAATCACATTTTATTAAAATATAAAATGTTTTTATCATGTTCTTTAAAAATTATGGCGTTTTTTAAAAAAATGAAAGAAAAAACATCATTTCTAGAGCGAATTACCTTTTAAATTTCTGTGATTTCAGGATTTTTATTATTATTATTTTTATTTTTTTATCCATTTAAAATTCTAGCTGAAGCAAGCCAGTCATTGGCGAAATTTTTTTTATTCCGAAATGAGAACAGAAAAATCAGGAGTATTTCTTTCCTTTCCGATGAACACGAAAAATATCTTCAGAATATAATTCTGCAGAAAAAATATTTGCTTTTGTATTTTTTTCAGCTATGTTATTGCTTCAATTCTTTCTTTACTCTGTTTTTTAAATTTAAAATCTATAAACATGAAGATGCAGAGTATAACTTATGGTTATACCTATAATTTCAATTAATGTTATTATAATGCTTTTTTAAATTTATTGTTGCNCATTCTTGTCCATGTCTCAAATTAAAATAAAAATAATTTTTCTAAAATAAAACTTAGGTGATCATTATTTACCCCAGAAACAGAGTGATCACCCTATATAAAATTGGTATGATTAAGATAGTTGATATTATTGGAACAATGTAATGATCATTTCATTACTAAAATTTTAGTAATGATAAGATTTTGTTATAAAAATAAATTATTATTTCCCCAGAATTTTATTTGAATTATGCTCTAAACATAATGAAAATCTAGGGGCAATATAGTGATAAGCTCTTATTTCCAGATTGTTTATAAAAGCGTTTCTTAATAAATGTTTTTATGATTTCTGAATTGTTGACTACTAGAAATTTCAAAAGCTTATTTAGTACCAATTTGGAAACAATAGTCAGTAAGATTGATATCAAAATGGCAACTTTGGATGGCTTATCGCTGTATTGCTCCAAGCCCTTAAATTTTTAAAAATCATATGGTAGGTGCATATTTTAAAAAAGATTAAATACTAAGTTTTCTTAATACTGAGAGAACTTGCAATAAATTCTTTTAACTTATTCACACATAAATTTGATGAACCTTGAGAGTTTTTATTTTAGGAAGATCTTTTAAGTTTAGGAAAAAGCTCTTACTTTCTTTTGGCAAAAGGAATTAAATGCTTTGAAAAATGCTAGTGATTCTGTTAACTGATAAATGCTTCCTACAATGTTCTTATATAAATTAATATTTGTGAAATTAAATAAAGTAAGAAGATTTTGCAGCAAGAAATTTAAAATTTACTTATGGCGAATGGTAGTATCAAAGTTTTTCAGAGCAAATTGAGCTCTAGGATCAAAAGTATAAAAGAGCAAAGTTATGTTTGTCTTCCCTCTGTACTAAGAGTTTTTTATTTAGAGGAATATTGAAGAAGAAATTGAGATGCAGTAAAAGTTAGGAATAATTCCATTTAAAAGAAGCATTGCTGGGATTTTTTCCCTCAAACAATTATTGAGAAGCATGTAAACTGTTTTTCAATGGATGTTTACACATAATTTCATTCCTCCTTAAATGTGAGTATTTGAATGTTATTAAATGCGATTCAAGTGTAAAAGTAACTTTTTAGAAAAAAATAAAATTGTGCTTATTCAAAAGATATATCTGTATAAGGCTTGTTTTTTTTTTTGTTTTTTTTTTGTTATATGTTAAACAAAAAAGACTAGGAAAAAAAATGTTAAACATGTTGGTTGATACATTTTGATATATGATTTAAACATAGTAACCTAAGCAATATTCAAATCAATTTTACAAAAATATGAAACTATTTCATATTTTTTAGTTCAAATTTTTACTATATTCCATTTATCTTAAATCTATAAAATTTATCTTTTCAGGACACTATGTGTTTTAAAACATTTCTTAAGGCTCATGCAGATATTTAAAACTTATATTTATTTTCTCATGTCATAATAACATTTATGTAAGCTATGCAGTACAAAATAAGAAGTTAATTGAAATGCATAATTAAGGCATATGCCTGATTTTGGCATAATTTTTTTTGAAAACCGCCTTAATTAAAATTTTAATTTTATTTATGGTTGGCAAGGGCCCTAACTTTTTAAATCTAAAGTAAACTTTAAAAATTTTTGAATTATTTTTTACAAAATATGGACGAATTTGGACAGAAAACTAAAATAAATTTATGTCTCACCAACAATTCTAACGCATAAATATCAAGATAAATTATTTTGAGGTCAATAATATGATTACCTGTGTTTTGAACTAAAATCTTTAAAAAATTTAAAATATGCAATGAAATAGAACTAAATATATTGTTCAATTTTGATTTTTTAAGTAAAAATTCTTAACATTCTTATTTAAAGAATGCTAAAAATAAGAAAATTACCACTTAAACCTTAGCTTTTAGTTTAAAAAATAGCTTACATTATACAAAATCTACTTACAAAGTTTCAAAAAATTTCATATTAAACTTATTTTGTTATGTATGTTAGCGTTGAGAAATTTTCTCAAAATCTGTTTTTTCTGAAAATTCATTTTAAGTATGTAATTGCTATTCTGTTTCGTCTGTCAGCAAATGAAAAAACAATTGGAACTGTCATTCTGGAGATCAGAAAACAAAGATTTAAGATCTAGAAAGCTAATGAACTAAAGTTCAAATGAAGACAAAGTGGGGAAAAATCGAAATTATCCATTTTGTCCCTGTCTGATACCTTAACACATAAATAAAAATGAATCTAAACTTTAAATTTTATTGTAAATATTTGCCTCAAATAATTAGTATTGCTGAATTAGACCTCCGTAGAAAAAAATTCTTTTCTTAAAGGGTTCCTTGGCTCTCTGATCTAGGGTTCATTTTATCACATTTGCAGACCTACCAATTATCAGGTTTTTTTTGTCCAATCTCTGGATCTCACCTCAAGCAACCAAAGTATTTTCTCCTGCTTTTTTCCAAATAAGTGTTTTATGGATTGGGAAACTTATGCACGTTTTGTAGAGTCTGATAAACCAATATATATACAGGGGTCTGTCCAAGCCAAATTTACTGTTTAGCGGTACCTTCACAAATTCAACTTAAGGAAAAACAGTAGTTTCAAAATACTTTTTCTTAAAATTTTATTTTTGTGTCTCGTAAGAAACGATAAATCCATATTTTTACCATAGTTTTGTGTTTATTTTTTAATATAATTTTTAATTTTCACAAATTATGTCTAAATTTTCGCAAAATAGGTACCTCTCGGAAAAACCTAAGCAAACCCCTGATATATACTCACAGTGGAACCCTGATTTTGTGTTTTTCATCTGACTAGGGTTAATAAATGCATAAGGTAGTAAAACTCTAAATCAGAGGGAAAATATAAGCTTATTTTTCTAAACTTTACACAAGATGACTATATTAGAAAAAATGTGTAATCTTTAACTTTTTTTACAGATACAATTCAACAGTATCTCTCTTAATAATAATTTTTACATTTGCAAATATTGTTTGAGTTTTTATGTTTTAAAACTCTTAATCAGATTTTTGTATATCCTCTGATATTTTTTACTCGTCTTCCTCATTTTAAGCACTGTCATCGGGGGCAGACATTAAATCAGGTATTGAAGGAATTTATATATGTAATAGGGATATGTATTGCAGTTGATATCTGTGTCATCAACTTCGGAAATAATTTTATTTTGAAAGGCTAATGTTAACGTTGGATACTGAGAAGCCTACTTAATTAAATCAATTTGAAATGCTAGACTGTCTAACACTGTAGAAATCAAAACTTTCAGAACATTTATGTTTGCTTTTGAAGCATTTTGTAAGTCACTGAAATCAGAAAAATAAATGATTACCTAACCAGTTGTTTAATGTAATGTTCTTTAAATGATTGGATTATTCCAAGATTCAAATTTTGAAGCTAGCTGAAAAAAATTTCAAATGCAAATTTTACAATTTAAGTTCTCATACTTCATTTAACCATCCTTCTTGTGGTTTGCCCATTCCACCACTTTTTTGATTTTGACTCAAGATTTTGACCTTGAAGTAGGAAAATCCCCTCTCACAGATAAAAGGACAGTAAGATAGAATAATAAGAATGTCGAAACAATTAAGAAACTAATCTCTTTTTTTTTAAAAAAAAAGAAAAGGTGGAACTTGGAAAAAGTTTGTGCGAGTTTCGTAGAGAAAAAATTATAATGACCTCTTAGAAAAATGCATAAGGATTTTCTTATAAAGGGTAACTTATATAATACAGGATAATTTAACATTATCGGTATGGACAATTTTCACAGATAATGATGTGGGAAGGAGGATGAAACGAAAAGTATATAACGTAAAATTGGGGTCCACTGTATATATAACACTGCTTTTTAACAAAACGTATACAGATTGTTTTTAATAAAGAGTGATATCTTAATTAGCACTAAAATATCTAATTTGAGTAATATTTTTTCCCCCGAGCATTATGGTTTTTCTGTATTAGTAGAAATTTAAGAGAAAGACAACAAAGCTCGATATTCTGAAAACTCAGTTTTGTGCTTTACAGTGCAATTCCATTTCAGAATTTTTTCTATTCTTTTGGTAGAATTGAAGCAAAATAGTGTGAAGTCAGTAGCAGGAAAAGTAGGAACTAGAGTGGGTTGGCCAAGTTAAAGGTTGCAGTATTAACCAAAATTGATACTACCTGTAGGAAAATATTCAGCAGTTTTAGAAAAATCCATGCTTAATACTGTTCTTGTTTCACAAAAAAAGGAATTTGTTGGCTGAGAAACAAACTAGGCAGAACTTCAGAAAAACTTTTATTTAATGTTTTGTAATTTTTAGAAGTTAAATTACTTAAATAAATTTTAAAAAATGCATTTACTTATATTTATTATATTATGCTAGAGTCTCCAAGTCTTGAGCATTTTGAATTTCTGTGGTTGCATTTTATAAAAATTTTAATTCTATATATTTTGATAATTTATGTATAAAAGGCATGTTGAGTAATAGGCATGGAAAAAATTCTCAGCCCAATATTTCTCCCAAATTTTTTTTTTTTTAAATTAATTCAAATTTGGAGTGAGTTTTTGTAACACACATTTTTTAAAGATTTGTTTAGTAACTTTGTTATTTTGTTAAAATAAATTTTCTTTGACTTTGAAAAAAAATATTTGATGACAAAAAATTCTTGAATAAACTAAACTGAGTGGCGCGACAGCTCATAGAGAGCCAAGGCCTACTGTGCCCATCTAAGTTTTCTTGACCTTGGGCTATGGGGTGCAGGAGCAGATGCTCCGGTCAGGTGGTCAGCCGAACGCGGAACCCCCAGTGTTTAGTTCCCAAGCATGCTTGGTACTCATTTATCGACCCACTGAAGGGATGAAAGGCTTAGTCAACCTTGCCCGGCCTGAGGATCAAACCAGGGACCTGCGGCACGACAGCGCTTCGCGCTACCGCTCAGCCACTGAGTGTCCTTGAATAAACTAGCATGTGTTAAAAATAATACATAATTATTAATAAAACACAATATAATTTATTAAAAAAAAATTTATGTCCTTTTCATAAATTTAAGGAAATCAAACTAATAAATAAATGACATGCCTTATAATCGATAAATATTTTTTTATGGTAAAAAATATTGCAGCAATTTTTTATTTTATTTTTGAATTTGACTAGAAGTTTTCTCCTGGCTTCCTTGAGCCTGGTTCATGGGACTGAACCCTTATGAGGAATATACTGCACTTACAGCTTTTAATTCTGTTGTTCTGAAGTATGAAAAACCTAAACTTTTAACTAATGACTTATTGGTTAAATGCTTGACATTTGTTAAAATAATTCTAAAAGTGCATTATCTAAATTTTAAAAGTGCATTATTTACTTTGCGTTTAGTTTCCAAATTACTTTTTTTTTTCTTAAAAATATCTGAAATTTTATTTGAAGTTAGTGTAATTGATTTTTTTTTTAAAAATTTTTTGAATTATAATTCTGACTTTATTATTTTAATGTTCTGTTAACATTTTTTACATGCCTGTTTTTTGTTTTAGGCTATATAAGATTATTCTGCTAATGATTCATTAGCTGAAGGTAAGCATTTTTTTTAAAAATATTTCTTAATTTTGTCATGTGACTTGTTTTTAGACTAATAGCTTTGAAACTTAATTGTAAAGGCTTTATTTATTTAAAAAAAATTGATGTAACTGAATACAGTTTTTCATTGAGGCTTCTTTTAAAACGTTTCTACTGCACAATTTTAATGTGCCATGAATTGTAAATTATTAAACTTTGAGATAGTTTTTCTGTAGCATTTTTAAAAAATTCAAGTTTTTGTAATATTCATTGTATACTCACCTACTACTACGGAATTTCCGTAGTTTTTGAAAATATTTCTTTTAATAGCAACAAAGGATGCATATCAATATTTCAACAAATTAGAATTTTAAAAAATTTTATCCACCCCTACATATAAAAAAATCTTATCAGATATGTAAAAAATTAGATGACTGATGATCCTGACCTTAAGTTCTTGTTAAAAAATCTTGTAAAATGCTAAAAAATCTTGTAAAATGCTGTTTATTATGAAAATTTCTGCTTTAGTGCTCTTGAGAAAATTATTTCTCAAAACATCAAATGTTGGAGGGTATATATTTGAGCCCTGAATTCGTATTTTTTCCTTTAACAAAAGAAAAATGTTGTATTCTGACAACTTTTATATGCTACTCTAAGAATATCTTAATTGTGAGAACTTGTTCTTTGTAGACTTTGCCTTGCTGGAGTGAAGATGCTGGTGGAAGTCGCCAGCGCTAAACATCAGGCCTCTAGATATTTATCCTCTACTGGAATGGCTGCAAAAGAGCTGTGTGAAAATGATGATGTTGCTTCCAGTCTTGTGCTAGATCCCTATCTTGGCTTTTTGTCTCATAAGATGAATATTAAGTAATTATTTTGTATTTTTATGAATATTTTAACAATTATTTATATATATTTGAATAAATGCACTATTTTTATATAATAATAATTTGAATAAATGTAAATGTTATTTTTTTATTAAAAATTGGGTACTGCTGTGCTATGTATCTGTTTGCCAAAGTTTCTTTACATTATATTCCTAATTTTATAATGTCAATTAAACTAAACTCAGGGACACAACAGTTCATGGAGGAGAGCCATTTGCAAATCTTTTTAAAGAGTCACTGATCTTATAAATATATTTTAATAATAGTAAATATATGTTAATACTTCTAAGAATTTTGTTTTTAAATACCATTCTTTATGGTTTATTGATCTAAGAAAAAATAAATTTCTTATGGATGTATTTCTTTCATTAAATAATATGCAATGTTGGTCAATGTATCAGCATTTGTTTCACGTTCATCACTCATTTTGAAATCTGGTATAAACCTGTTTTTTGATTAATTTTTCTTAAGTCGAAGTTTTCCTAAAAACCAAAGCACTAAAAAGGCATGAATTCTTGGTAGTAATCTTTTGAACTTCAGAAAAATATTTTAAGGAAATAGGATTTTTGAAAATATTAATTCTGATTTACAGTTTTTATGAAAAGTTGCATTTGTAATATTTTCAGCCAACCCAAAGTTACTTCATATATTATTTTTTTTTAAATTTTACTATGAAGATTTCACTTAAACTATTTAATTTTTTTTATCAAGAAATCAAGTTTTTTAATTGAAAAAAATTTAAACATTTTATATAATTTAAAATTACTTTTTCTTTAATTTTAATTTATTTCAATTACTAAAGAAAAACTAAGCATTTTTTGCTGGAGAAAATTTTTTTAAAAATTTCGTAGTTTTTAAAAAAATTAAATTAGTAATTTAGTTAATTAAAAAAAAAATTTTTGTTTTTATTCAAAAAAATAAAAAACATTTATCAGATAAAAAAAAATTTCTCAATCAGATAAATTGAAGATTACGAACTAAAATCATAAATTTTTTTAAATAAAATTTTAAAAAATTCAGTTCGAAAATTGAAATCTTAAAAACTGTTGTGACTTTCTAGCCAAAAGGTGGATATCTTAAGCATTGCCGCCACACTTACACACCCATCGTGTGGGTTTTTTTTTTCATTATTAATAAACTAAACAAAAGCTTAGAGGGTCATACCTTTATCAATGGCCACAATCGTGAAACCTTAAAGTCAGGGCTGGGTTTTTGACGTCAAAAAGTGGTTTTTGACATGACAAGGGTATAATACTGGTTTAAACCGTCAAAAACCCGTCAAAAATGTCAAAAACTGAAGTTTGCCAAGAAAATATATAAACTTCAAAACTACCAACAGTTGCCATGCATTATATTGAAATTTAATTATACTATAAGTAATCAGCAGGTTTTAAAATATTTTTTAATTAAAATTAAGGTAAAATAACAGATTTAAAATCTCAGAAATTTATATTCAAATGCATGTGCA